CTTCGTGAGGCTTTCTTCCCCCAGGCTCTGCCCTCCGTGTCTGACTCAGCGGGGCGCAAACCTGCCATCCAGCACGCCTCCGTGGCTGAGGCGCTGGGAGCGGCTGTCCGTCAGGCGGGGAAGATTCGACCCTCTTCTGCCCTTGGCTTCTTGGATTCGGCCCAGTGGCCAAGCGGAGCTTTTCCTTCCCTGTTCTCTGTAGGCACACCAAGATGAAGACCGCGACCAACATTTATATCTTCAACCTGGCCCTGGCCGACACTCTGGTCTTGCTGACGCTGCCGTTCCAGGGCACAGACATCTTGCTGGGGTTCTGGCCGTTTGGAAATGCCCTGTGCAAGGCAGTCATCGCCATCGACTACTACAACATGTTCACCAGCATCTTCACGCTGACGGCCATGAGTGTGGACCGCTATGTGGCCATCTGCCACCCCATCCGTGCCCTTGACGTCCGGACCTCCAGCAAGGCCCAGGCTGTCAACGTGGCCATCTGGGCTCTGGCCTCTGTGGTTGGTGTTCCTGTCGCCATCATGGGCTCTGCACAGGTGGAGGATGAAGGTCGGTGGGCAGCCCCTCCTCCCTGACCAGGCTCCCTGGGTTGCTAGTGGCCCCTCTGACCCTGTTTCTCTCCTGCAGAGATAGAGTGTCTGGTGGAGATCCCTGAGCCCCAGGACTACTGGGGCCCTGTATTTGCTGTCTGCATCTTCCTCTTCTCCTTTATCATCCCTGTGCTGATCATCTCGGTCTGCTATAGCCTCATGATCCGGCGGCTTCACGGCGTCCGTCTGCTCTCGGGCTCACGGGAGAAGGACCGGAACCTGCGGCGCATCACGCGGCTGGTGCTGGTGGTGGTGGCTGCGTTTGTGGGTTGCTGGGCACCTGTGCAGGTCTTTGTGCTGGTCCAAGGCCTGGGAGTTCAGCCTGGAAGTGAGATTGCTGTGGCCATTCTGCCCTTCTGCACAGCCCTGGGTTATGTCAACAGCTGTCTCAACCCCATCCTCTATGCCTTCCTGGATGAGAATTTCAAGGCCTGCTTCCGCAAGTTCTGCTGTGCATCTGCCCTGCACCGGGAGATGCACGTGTCTGAGCGTGTGCGCAGCATTGCCAGGGATGTGGCCCTGGCCTGCAAGACCTCAGAGACCGTACCACGGCCAGCATGACTAGGCGTGGATCTGCCCATGGGGCCTGTCAGTCCACAGAGCCCATCCACGCCCAACACAGAACTCACACAGGTCACTGCTCTCTAGGCTGATGCCTGGCCCCTGAGAATCTGAAGCCTTGGGTGTTTTCCCTTTGGCCCAGGGACGCCCAGTCCCAGAGGAAGTCCTAGGAGCATCATGGATGTTCCAATCAAAGCTTTGGGGCCACTCTGTGACCTGTCTGTGACCTGTCAGCCTCAGCTGCCCTTCTGGAGTGGGCCAGAGGTCACACAAGGACACTGCTTGGAAGTCTCCACGGCGCCCGTGGACACACCTGGTGAGCCACCTGGGGTCAGCCGAGCCCTGGCTCCGGGTGGGGTCTCACCCTGGGGTTTGACTGACAGTGTGGCCGTGTGTGTCCTGTGTGCTGTCTGCCTTCAACCTTGCGGAGTCTCCGCAGGCCACTGGATGAGCTCTGTGCCCCCAGGCACAGCGGGAAGCATTTCTTTGGAGTGCAGCTGGCCCTGAACTCGGAGCCGCCCTGGCACACTTGCTGTTGAGTCTGGTGCAGCAGGTCACCCTGGGCTCTCAGGTGGAGGCCTTGCACCAGTCCTGGCTGGTGGTTTTCTGAAGTCCTCCTACTGCATTCTGCAGCCTGTGGGTGTGAACCTGTCCTGGCACTACCCCCGAGAGCAGGTGCCCTGGGTACCTTCCCTCAGGAGGCCCACAGAGCTGGCCCTGGAGGCTTACCAGTGAGCTCTTTTCCTCCTGAAGTGCCGTTTTGAAACTCAGCCATGTGAACGACCATGTTCTAGACCATATGGCAAAGCTCTGCTTCTGCCTTGTTGCTCATAAAGCAGAGGCCCCGTGTGCTGTCGGGCAAGGTCAGAGGCCCATAGCCTCCTGGGGCTTTTCCACACAGATGCCTTTGCTTGAGATCAGAAGCAGCAGCTGTCACTGAAGGATTCTTGGAAGCCCAAGACTTTCAACGACTGTTTACAAGCTCAGTGTGTCTCTGAGCTTGCAGACAGTTTTGTTTTGCACTCAGAGCTAGTGTGAGGGGTGTGGCTTGTCAGATGACCCTTGACCCAAGGGTGATCTGGGTTTGGGGAACATGGGAGGAATATGTGCCTCAGGAATCGTATCTGTGATCACCAGGAAAACCAGATGGCTTTGCAAGTTCTCTTCCTGATGACAACTGACTGAACTACCTGTAACATCCAAGAGACACTGTTCTTTCACTGAGACCGTGATCAGGTGGCCTGCCTGGCTGCAAGGTTCATTCCTTGGGAGCCAGGGCTCTCTCCATGATGACATGGTGAGAATTGCCTAGCTTGTCAAGATTGACAACCTTGTAAATGTGTACATCTTCATGTATTTATGCATGTAATAAATGTCATTCTCTATGCATGTAGCCAACCTGAACTTGTCTGTGGAGTAATGAAGGGGGCCATGGTTAGCATCTGCTCACTGACTGGGTGCTGTCCTTAGAACAGGCGTCTCTGACTCTATCATGTAAGGACTGGATGTTGGAATGATCTCTCCGGGGTTGGCACCTGGCAGGTTGGGCTGTGGGCCCAGGTGGATGAGATTTCCTGCTGTTTTGCCCTTGGTAGAAGCTCTTACAGGAGGCTCTGATTTGGGAGGGGAACTAGTTCCTGGTGTTGCAGAAGCCTCCCTTCCTGCACAAAGTCACCCAAAATCTGAGCATCCTTTCTCCTGCCCTCCGGGGGCAGTGGCAGATATCCCTTCTCCTAGACTGCAGAGTTTTCACTATAATTTTATTTTTGCCAGTCCTGGAGCTTGAACTCAGGGCCTGGCAGGCTGTCCTTGAGCTTTTGTGTTCGTGGCTAGTGCCCTATCACTTTGAGCCACAGCTCCACTTTGGAGTATCATGGACTTTCCTAGCTTTGAGCCATGATCCTCAGATCTCAGCCTCCTGAGTAGCTAGGATTACAGGTGTGAGCCACAGCACCTGGTTGTAGATAGTACTGTTCAAACAAAAATTCGGTATCAAGGGAGTTTGTCAGAGCGGGCCCCACTGTAGCAGCTACTGTGCTCTTGGGAGCCAGATGGTGTGGTCCTGGTTAGGAGGGCTCATGTGAGTGGTTTTAGGTTGCTGACCTTCTTGCCAAATGGCCAACCCCCATGGATGTCTGCAGGAGGAGGTGAGCAGCCAGCCAGGCAATGGAACCCTGCCGGTGAGTGCTTCCCCAGTGCTCCAGACTACACTCCCCTCTGAGTGCTCTCTGCCTCCCCGGCTTGGCTCCCCTCTCTATACCTCTGCTTCTGTCATCTTCTGGGCTTGGTCAAGTCCAGCTTCTCTGGGGCTTTTTTTCCTCCTTTTTGTAAAGGGAACCACAGAACTTCTTCACAGGGTTATGGGGTAGGTAGTAGCGGGCAGAAAGAAGTCAGGGCCCCAAGGCCTCAGAAGTCTGAATTCACTGGCTGTTTGGACTTTGCCCACTAGAGGGTGCTGTGGACCCAGGGTAGGCCCAGCACAGGGCCTAGAGAGGTAGCCATGCAGGGGCCATGCCAGAGGCCATGTCAGGGCCTCTGGGCTCCTTGGTTGAGTAGTCCCTCCCCTGGGAATCAGGGGATAACTGCCTCTTACTCCGCTCCAGTCCTGCTGGCTCCTTCCTGGTTGTGCCTGCTGCTTGGTCCGTGCAGTGTCCCTGGAGGTGCTGCAGAGGGAGGGAGGGAGGTTGCTCCCATTGCTGGGTCCAGGATGAGGGCAGCAAGGGTCTGGGTCTACAGAGGAGGCTGGGTTGGCACCTACGGTGTGAAGATATCTTGGTGGGACCAGAAAGCAAGGTGGGCAGGAGGGGGCCAGGCCAGGGTTCCTAGCCTCGCCCAAGACTGGCACACACACTGGCCTATCCCCGCCCCATCATGCCCGCACCCTTCCTTCCTTGGTTCCTCTATTACATGCTCGCTACCCTGCACATCTGCGTGTCACTTTTACGCCTAGGATGCACGAGCTCTGGGGAATGCGATGGTGCTGCTGCTGGCACCCAGAAGAGGCTTGCTCTTACACAGGAGCAGCAAGGGGTGGTAATTACATTTTGTTGGGGTGTAAGTGGGCTGCTGTGTGTGTGTGGGCAGCTTGTTTTCTTGGCAGAACGGTGATGCAGGTGGTGGTTTTAAGGTTTCCAGAACCTTCCATGTAGGCAGGACCCTCCTCTGAGTGCAGGCCACACTGGGTGCTCGGCTGTCTTCGCTGTCTTGGCCCCCCGGCCCCGTCCCACACTATTAGGACACCGAAGCAGCTTTGTGGAGCGGCCGTGAGGCTGTGCCTTTTCAGAGGCCCTCTCCAGCCTCCGGAAGATGCCAGCCCTGCCAGCATCTTGCCTGAAATCCATGGGAGACTGAGCCAGAGCCACAGAATGAAACTCCTACATTTCTAACCCTCAGTAGCCAAACATTTCTTATTCCTCAGCTTCTCAATGTGGAAAAACTTATTATACAGTAATAGGAAACTACAGAATGCTGGGCCAGGGAGGGCACTGGGCAGGTGACATCTGTGACATTTTGGGCTGATGGGGAGGTGCCACTGAGCTGAACTCAGGCAAAGGACTAGACACCCCTTGGAATGCCAGAACTCTGAGTCCTGAGGGCTGCAGCCAAATTGAGGACTCACCGCATGAGGCCAGCTGGGAACCAGGCCTGGAGCGGGGCAATGAATCCAGACCCGCCATATAGTCTTGGTGAACGTGCCCCTGGCCCACAACCTGGAGGCTGGTCTGGGAGCACCATGTAGTGCATAGTCTCTCCCCTGGGGCTCCAGAATGTGGCCTCTGCTGGCCACATCCAGGCCTAGGACCATCCAAGAAGGAAAGGTTTCAGATCCAGACAGAGTGGCTATCTGTCACGACATGGATACTCCAGGCCAGGACCTGAGTTCTTTCTGTTAAGAGACAGAGACATGGCAAGGGCCACACTGTGGCTGCTTCTGCGTGGTCTGTGTCTGTGGAGAACACAGGGATGGGATTTGAACTCTCCTGACCAGGACTGTTGCTGTGCGTGGAAGGGAGGAGATAAAATGGTGGTGGTGTTCAGCCCCCCCTCCCTCTGCCCCCAGCACAGGACCATGGTACAGAAATGACATGGCAGGGGTGTTCAGACCCCCAGCACAGGACCATGGCATGGAAATTCCTGAGGAAGCCGTCATCCAGGAATGCATCCAGGAAGGGGTTGAGGCATGCATTGGCATAGCGGAGGCTGGTGATGACGTGGGAGATGCCGGTGACCAGGGGTGTCTGGGGCACGTCTGGGGCCAGGTGGGATGGTGCCCAGCAAAGGACGCACGCAGCCAGCACAGCAAGGACCGGAGCAGTCACCATGCGCTTGGCCTTGCTCAGGACCTTGGCACCGGAGCGAAGCCGCGTGGCCGCAGCCTACACAAGTGCACTAGAACACACAGAGGGTACACGGGGCACCACGAGGCCCAGCACCAAGGTGTAGATGCGGCTGGCCTTGAGCCAGGCCTGCTCAGGCCTTGGAAGCTCAGCCCACAGCTGGGCACCTGCAGCTCATTGCTGTAGTCATAGGCAGAGAGAAGAAGGGCTGGGCCAGGGTGGAGATGCCCAGCCAGACACATAGGCCAGCCACTTTGCCCCCCACCGGGTGCGCCTGGGCTCGCGGCGGGACTTTGCGTGGCTGGCATCACCAGGTAGTGGTCCACACTCATTGCGGCCAAGAAGTAGACACTGGAGAAGATGGTGTAGTGATCCAGGCTAGTACCAGTTTGCAAAGTGACTCCCCAAAGGGCTGGTGCTGCAGCAGGTGCTCGGCAGTGCGGGCTGGCCACAGCGCGCAGAGTCCGGTTCAGGACAGATACGTTGGCCACCGTTTTCATCTTGAGCACTCTCAGGATCACATAGAGCACAGCCAGTTAGCTCTGTGGCACCGATCACAGAGTACATGGCCGACAGGAGGGCAGGGAGCAGCGACCGTGGCTGTGGGAAGGTAGTGTTGGTCTGGCTGCCGCTGTGCTGGGGCAGGCCGCACCCATGAGGGCAGGAGGAAGCAGCCTTTGCCATCCAGGGACTCTAAGCCTGCAGCACAATGCATCCGGGCAGGCCTCGAGGCAGGTGGCCGGGCAGGGCCCCCTTGGATGGGCATCGGGAAGAACAAGCAAGAACGTCTGGGAGCTGGCTGCGGGCGCAGGGGCCACCTCATGTTCTCTGGCGAGGCAGACACCTGGGGCCCCGCCACTGGTAGAGCTTCTGGATGCGAGCATCCTGGGCAGGTCAGCTCCTCTCTCCGGGTGCCCTCCTGTGAGGGCATCTGCATGCCCGCTAGGGATGATGAATTTTGGGCCTCCCCCTCCCCACGCACAAGAAGCAGAAGCAGGGCCATTCTTCTTTGAACAGCTCCCAGGTGCCTCCCAGAGCCTCTGAACCCAAGAGCTCTTCCCCCTTAAGCTATGTAGATCTTCTCTGTGCTCACCTGTCTGGAGCCTTGTGGTCAGAAGTGGAGGTCTTGGTGTGCTGCAGAGATAGAGATGGTCTGTGGAGGGTGGGGGGCTCCTACCACCCAGGAAGGGGCTTCTGGAACCTTCCCTGCCGGTGCCTCAGCTCTGTGGCTCTCAGCACCGTCCCAGCTTCGTGCTGAGCTGATGCTGCAGGGTGGGAGGGAGGGAGGGGGGAGGGCGGAGGCGGTCACACTTGCTGAGTGGGCCCTGTGGAGGCCGGTGCTTCTCCCACCCCAGCGCTGTGCTTACTTGCATACAAAGGGCACACTTCCTTGTGTAAAAGTGTCTTAGTGTATCTTGGGCCTATTCCTGAGCAGGAGCATGATATGGGCCATGTGGTGTGTGTGTGTGTGTGTGTGTGTATTTCATGTGTGTGTTGGTATGCCACACATGTGTTTGGGCCTGTGACCCACGTGTGTGTTGGTGTGCCACACATGTATGTGGGCCTGTCGTCCACATGTGTTGGTATGCCACACACGTATGTGAGCCTGTGCTCCACGTGTGTATTGGTGTGCTGCCCGTGTGTGGTCCACGTGTGTGTTGGTGTGCTGCATGTGTGTGGGCCTGTGGTCCACATGTGTGTTGGTGTGCTGCATGTGTGTGTGGGCCTGTGATCCACATGTGTGTTGGTGTGTCACACATGTGTGTGGGCCTGTGATCCACATGTGTGTTGGTGTGCTGCATGTGTGTGTGGGGGCCTGTGGTCCACATGTGTGTTGGTGTGCTGCCTGTGTGTGTGTGGGCCTGTGGTCCACATGTGTGTTGGTGTGCTGCCCGTGTGTGGGGGCCTGTGGTCCATATGTGTGTTGGTGTGCTGCCTGTGTGTGTGTGGGCCTGTGGTCCATGTGTGTTGGTGTGCTGCCTGTGTGTGTGTGGGCCTGTGGTCCACATGTG